AAGATTCTGGTTTCTCTGTACTTACAAAGAAAAAGGCACATAAAGCTTTTGTTTTATGTTTTTCTCAATATAGCTCGTTGAAGGTTACATTACTAAAACCACTTGGTTTTCTTCCAAAAGAATGCTCCTTAGAAGATCTACTTCTGGCCGGGTGTGGTGGATATCCCAGCACTCTAGGAGGCTGAGGTGGGTGGATTAGTTGAGGCCAGGAGTTCGCGACCACCCTGGCCAACATGGAGAACCTTGTCTCCACTACAAATACAAAAATTAGCTGGGCATGGTGGTGCACCCCTGTAATCCCAGCTACTCAGGAGGCTGAGGCACGAGAATCACTTGAACCCAGGAGGCGGAGATTGCAGTGAGCTTAGATCATGCCACTGCACACCAACCTGGGTTGGACTCTGTCTCAAAAAAACCCACAGAAGACCTATTTCTTGTCTTGGCTCTGAAGCCTCCTGGACTTAAGAATGCTCTTCAAGTACTTGGGAAGATCCTATTCAGATTGTTCCTTAAGAAGTGTTGCCAAATGAGATACACTCAGGCATATAAATATTAATAAACTAATTAATACTGAATATCTTCAAGAGAATTTAGAGTTAATATACATGGAGATAGGCAAAGAAAATGTTTGCATTTAATAGGTTCTGTTAATAGGTTCTGTGCAATCAGAACCTATTTATGGCCATCACTCTCTGATATATAGTGGCATTGTTTTATTCTTAAAATTTCACTCCTGGCCAGGCACGGTGGCTCACGCCTGTAGTCCCAGCACTTTGGAAGGCCAAGGTGGGCGGAACACAAGGTCAGGAGATCGCGACCATCCTGGCTAACACGGTGAAACTCCGTCTCTACTAAAAATACAAAAAAAAAAATCAGCCGGGCGTGGTGGCGGGCGCCTGTAGTTCCAGCTACTCCAGAGGCTGAGGCAGGAGAATGGAGTGAACCCAGGAGGGGGAGCTTGCAGTGAGCCGAGATCGCACCACTGCCCTCCAGCCTGGGTGACAGAGCGAGACTCCTTCTCAAAAAAAGAAAAAAAAAAATTTCACTCTCATAATGAGTTTGTGGTAGCCACTAGTCATATTAGTACCTAACTTTGCCTATGACAGTCAAGTCTACTATCCATAGTGACTAGTCTTACCTTCTCTTTCATGTTCTCAAAAGCCCCTCCCTGGGCCAGTACAGTATTGGACTGCAAATCAAAAATGAATCCTGATGAATCTGAAAGAATAAGAAAGGAAAAATATATTCAACATGATTCAAATGTAATCCATCCCTAAGACAGAAGGGCCAAGACTGGCTGCTTTTGTCCCATAAAACAATTAACAGCTTAGTTGCTATTTGGCAAATTCTGTTACATAGATAACTTTAACTGCCTTCTGAATTAAATTTATAATACAAAATTTTAATTTTAATAAAAACTGTCACAGTTTGAGGTAAACACTAAATACATCAACTACATTAGACTGTCCTGTAATCCTTGATATTGTTAATTATCCCACCTTAAGGTCCTCTAAAAATGTTGCAAGTAAATAGCTCCCCATGGTAAAATTTAACCCTAAAGAATCTGAAAATGTGAGTGGGATGGAAGCTTCTGTAGCATTAATAACACAAAGTAATTTCCTCTTCTAGATGGAACCATACATGTTATGTTCGTAGACTATAAACCCATGAATACATTCATGTGTGTGTTCCTAATATAAAGCTTGATGAAGCAAGGTATCCAAGTTGTAGGTTATAGAAAAACTCAGTTCAATATGATTGATTACAAAAAAAGATTCTGGTTTCTCTGTACTTACAAAGAAAAAGGCTATGTGCAAATTTAATCAGTTTCTTTACCTCTATGTGATCAATAAATTACTTCAGCTTTAATACTCAACAGCTTTGTTTTAACCCAGTAAGATACAATCTCAGGAGATGGTTAGAGTGCTTTTCAAATTCTGATGTGCATACTTACCACCTAGGGAATCTTATGCTAAAATGTAGGTTGTGATTCAGCAGTCTGGCCTGTGGCAAGAGATTTTTACTCCCAGGTGATAACAATATTACTGATCTCTGCACTGTACTTGGAAGTAGCTTAGAAGTTAGAATTTCAACAAGGCAAGTAAAAGGAAAAATGTTGAGAAAAGGGGTACAAAAAAACCACGGTAATACTCTAGTACATTTTCCAAATTATTTTGCTGTTATTACAGATATGTTTCAATTAAAGATTCTTTCACGGCTTAATCTTAAACCTTGAATTAATTTAGATTGAACTTTTGTTAATACTGGCCATTTCTAGACTGTTACTCAAATGAAAAATCAGGTAACACTTATACAAACTCAGTATTTAAGCTTGAGTTTTCTGGATGACTATAAATATGGTTAACTCTCAATTATCTTTATTAATTGAAAAGAGACACAGTCTACAAAAACAAAGATCTTATAAAACCAAAGCACTATTTAGAACCTTCTCAGAATTCCTATAGATCAGCTAAATGACATAACTCGAATGTTTTAATGTATCCTCCCTCAAAGAGTAATGAGCAGTAGGATGATACAGAGGACATCAATAATCCACTTATTAGTCAATCAAACCACCAATCTCTTTTAGGGAAAAGAGGGAACATAAAACAGCATTTTGGGTTCTATTACTAGCCTCTTATACTCATCTAGCTCTGTTTTTTGTTTTGTTTTGTTTTGTTTTCCTTTAACACATACTAGATGACACAAACTGCAAGGAAGACAAAGGGTAGGCTGGGTATGGTGGTTCACACCTGTAATCCCAACATTTTGGGAGGCCAAGGCAAGTGGATCGCTTGAGCCCAGAAGTTTGAGAGCAGCCTGGGTAATATGGTGAAACCCTGCCTCTACAAAAAGGAGAAAAATTAGCCAGACATGGTGGCACGTTCCTATAGTCCCAGCTAATTGGGAGGCTGAGGTGGGAAGACAGCTGTAGCCTGGGAGGCTGAGGCTGCAATGAGTCATGAATGCACCACTGTACTCCAGCCTGGGTGACAGAGAGAGATCCTGCCTCAAGAAACAAACAAACAAAAACCAAAGGGTAGTTCTGCAAACACTCAATTACTGGCCAAAACAAATTAGTATAATTAGGATTTATCTGGAATACTGTTAGGATAATGATTAAAAATACATAAAGCGGCTATTTCAGTCAGGATCCCAAACAGGAAGCGAATGGCATACTCAAACTGGGCAATCTTAATAGAGTTTAATAACAGGACTATTTTCAAATGTGCTAGCAGACAGTAGGGAAACCACCCAAGATAGGGCTGTACCTCTTGTTATCGTTTTGCTGGCTTTTAAGCAATGTGCATTGCTAATTGAGACTTGAGTGTGAGGAGGGAGCAGTTACAGGAGCCAAAGACAGAAAGGGCCCTTTTATTTTTGTTTCATCTGGTATACAGAGGGCCAAAGGACACACTCAAGCCCACAGCTACCTGTCAGAGAAAGATTAGAGGAATAAATGTTTCTACCTCACTCTCCTCCCTTCCTCTGAATTTCCTGCCAGTGTTGCCCAATGGCCAGCACTGGCCATTACTTACTTAAACCAGAGGCATGGGAGGCACTGAGATGGTCTATACAGGTCAGGAGGGCACAAATGACAATTTTGCATTTATATTCTATGACACGAGGTCACCAAAAAGAGAAAGCAATAATCTAACATCTTAATTTGTCTACTCACTAGCTGATATTGCCTTTTTAAACTTAAACCAACACCTCAAGTAGATTCAAAACCTTACTTTAATCAACTGGAGCCTAAATGTCTCTTAGTATTATATAGAAAGTAATTTTTAATTCCTATCAGCAATAGTGATTTTTAAACTCTTATTTTTTCATGAAAAGAAAGCTTAAGATTTACCTGATTCTATTGGTAGGAAATAAGGCAGGATTTCATCTTTTTATTAATACTTAGCTGTGATACAAGAGCATGTATTCTATCAGAAATACATTTTTAAGGAAAAAGTGCTGTTAAATATTCTCTAATCTGGCCAGGCGCGGTGGCTCACGCCTGTAATCCCAGCACTATGGGAGGCCGAAACGGGCAGATCATGAGGTCAGGAAATCAAGACCATCCTGGCTAACACGGTGAAACCCCATCTCTACTGAAAATACAAAAAAGTTAGCCGGGCATGGTGGTGGGTGCCTGCAGTCCCAACTACTCAGGAGGCTGAGGCAGGAGAATGGTGTGAACCTGGGAGGCGGGGCTTGCAGTGAGCCGAGATCACGCCACTGCACTCCAGCCTGGGCAACTAAGTGAGACTCTGTCTCAAAAAAAAAAAAAAAAAAAAAAAAAAATTTCATCCTGGGTGTTCAGGTAAAAAAAAATTCTCAGGCAAGATTCATAAAGAATATGAGGAAGTCTAGGCTGGGTGCAGTGGCTCACACCTGTAATCCCAGCACTTTGGGAGGCTGAGGCAGGTAGATAACTGGAGGTCAGGAGTTCGAGACCAGTGAACAAGGTGAAACCCCATCTCTACTAAAAATACAAAAATTAGCCGGGCATGGTGGCACACACCTGTAATTCCAGCTACCAGGGAGGCTGAAGCAAGAGAACTGCTTCAACCCGGGAGGCAGAGGTTGCAGTGAGCCGAGAATGCGCCACTGCACCCCAACCTGGGCGACAGAGCAAGACTCCACCTCAAAAAAAAAAAAAAAAAAAAAACCCAAAAAACAGGAAGCCTTGAGCTTGAGCTTTGTTATTTATTTCACTCACATCAGGAACCATTTCAGAATTTTTTTTTGGAATTACTTTTTTTTTTTTTTTTTTTTAGACTGAGTCTCACTCTGTTGCCCAGGCTGGGAGTACAATGGTGTGATCTCGGCTCACTACAACCTCCACCTCCCAGGTTCAAGCCATTCTCCTGCCTCAGCCTGCCGAGTAGCTGGGATTACAGGCACGCACTACCATGCTCAGCTAATTTTTGTATTTTTAGTAGAGTCAGGGTTTCACCACGTTGGTCAGGCTGGTTGGAATTATTTCAAATAGCACACATTCAGGTATATTTTAGAAAAAGTATGTTATTTACAGTACAAATGACATATTTGTAAATACTACGGGTTTTGTTATTGTTTTTGCTGGCTTCAAAAATTAGGCAAAAGTTGTTTCTAGGCACTGAGAATGACACAGACATAGCTGAGCCTGATTATTCCATGTATTAAATCAAACTTGAACAGGTGTCTTGACAAGCTTTAAAACACAGTGTCATTCTGCTGTTAGTTTATAATTTAACCTGAAGATCATACTGTACTAAATGTTTTAGAATTTGGTTTATAGTTCTGATTATATTTATACCCAAGGTACATATTTATTTATTAAAAAAAAAAACAGAAAACAACACATGTGGCAAGAATGTGGAAAAATTGGAATTCAGGAGCACTGCTAGTGGAAATGCAAAATGGTACAGCCCCAATAAAAACCACATGTTGGTTCCTTAAAAGATAAAACATAGAACTACCATATGATCCAGCAATTCTGCTTCTTGGTATACATACAAAAGAAACGTCACCAAGGTCTCTAAGAGGTGTTTTGTATATCCACGTACTGCTGCAGGCATTGAGATACACTAGGATGCAACAGTGAACAAGACACATGCCCTCTTAGAGTTTTACAGTCTAGTGCAAGAGACTGGTAAAAAAATGAATAACCATCTCAATATAACAACAATGCGTTGATTTATCAAACTGTATGATACTAAACACATATGTTAGACCTTCACAATAACACTACTGTGGAGTGAAAATTATTAAAAGCTCACCACCTCGGGTCCTATCTAAAGAGGTTTGGCAGAGCTAACATGAACACACAGTAAGGCTCTTAGACGCACTGAAGTGAATTTGATACAATTATTCATGAGCAGATTATTTCTATCATAGAAAACCCTGTGCTCAAATTCTAGGCTGCTCACTACAGAGACAAGTGTAGGTATATTTTAGAAAAAGTATGTTATTTACAGTACAAATGACATATTTGTAAATACTATGGGTTTTGTTATTGTTTTTGCTGGCTTCAAAAATTAGGCAAAAGTTGTTTTTAGGCACTGAGAATGACACAGAAATAGCTGAGCCTGAGGTGGTGGAACCCAAGTCTAAGGATTCTCATGGGGGCTACTGAATTTGTATCCGAATTCAACAACCAAAAACTTAAGAGTTTTGGATTGCTTGTATCTTTCTTTTGTTAACATAATGGCAAATTATTCCCTCTGACAAGCGAGGAGAAAAAT